TGCTGAGCGGAGCCCTGCAGGGCTACGAGGTGCTACACGCCCTGGGCTACGGAGGCCAACCTGGCCTGGAAGGGCCCTGGCCCTGGTGGGCTTTCCAGCTCGGCCTGCGCCTGGGCGAGGTGGGCGTCGCGCTCCCTTTAGCGCTGCTGGGCCTCTACCCCACGCTCTGCAGCCCCCGCTTGCCGCCGCGCTGCTGGGCCAAGATCTTCCGTTTGTCCCCGGGCCACGCGGCCCCGCTACTGCCCGGAGGCTGGGTCACCGGGCCCCAAGACAAGGAGCCCCTGGGTAGCGCTATCGCTCGTGGCGATGCGGAGCTGCTGCAGTTGTGTGCCCTGGCAGGTCCCGGCCCTGACCTGCTACTCCAGGGCTGCGGCTGTACCGGCTTCGAAGGCGCCTCGGACAACCCCGTCCCGTCCCCGGCCTCCTCCCCCTGCAGCGAATGCACCGTGGACTTCCGCCCGCCCTCCCCGATCAACCTGCGGCGCAGTATAGAGGAGGCGCTCTGTAGCGAGGCGATGCTGGCTCCTGGCCTCTTCCAGGGCCCCACTTTCGGGGAAGCCCTGCCTGGGCTCAGCCTCTACCGCACCGCCTCTCTGGGGACCAAGACCAGGGCCGGGCACAATGGAAGGTCAGAGGAAGCCCTCAGCTCCCCAGCAGCCCCAGATCTCCCCTCTCCTGGGGCTTGGCCCGCGGAGAGTAGCGCCTCATCTGGCTCCCTGTGCGGACTCTCGCGGGACAGCTCATCCATGCTGCTATGTTCCAGCCCGGACAGGCCTCTACGCTGTCCGCTGGTCTGTGTCCTCAGTCCCCCGAGACCCTCTGGAAGCAGCCTTAGCCTCCAGGCCTCAGGATCCTACCAGGTTTTGTCCCCACCATCCCACGACTCCCCCGAGCCTGCTCCTGAGCTGCAGGCGGAGGAGGCCTTGCTGCAAGAGCAATTCCTGGATGCTTGTCGACAAATCGATGAGCTGAGTGTGGGTAGCGACACCATAGACCTGTGATGAGGTAGCCACCTCACTGCCTTGACACTATACACCCCTTTCTGGCACCTGCTCTGTCCAAGACCTGTACACTGTAACCCTCCCCCAATCCTGCCTGGCTCAGATACCTCTCCCCACTTCCTTCCTCATCCAGGAGGTCCTGGGTGGGTGAGTCAGCAGCCAGGCTCTGCTGATTGGGAATTAGTGCCATCTTCTCTGGAGCCCTGGGCATTGATGCCCTCCGCTGCAATTTTAGGCTGGCAGGGGTCCCACTTTCCTTGGCATTCACCAGCAATAAAGCTCAAGGTGCTCCACTCTGGTGCTGAGTGAGAGGGGCTGTCCTCAGAAGACCTGGGGCCCTGCCTTAGGCCCATACCCACCTCTGCCTTTCCCAGGAATCCCACCCCTGTGGTGAGTGAGACTCCCTGTCCTCCACAGGCCTCTTCCCCACAGAAGGCTTCACAGCCCTTTCGGGAGGGCCGATCTTGGCCAAAAGGCTGAGAAACAATCTGGAGACCTTACAGCAGGTGGGTGGGAGGTGAATGCTTTCAGAGTTAATTTATCAATAAAATATTTTCAGAGGAGGAAGTTCTGACCTTCTTGGAAAAGCTTAAATGGAGTGACATCAGCAGTGGTTCTATCAGAAGTGGAAGTGAGAGAGTCTGTCTTTAACTCCAGGGACCTTCACGTGAGACCAAGGATCTTGTCCTGTGGCTGGGATAAGTGAGGGTCCTGGGAGTGGTCCCTTGAAGATCCTTCTGTCTCCCTGGAAAATGACTTTTCAAAGAGGTGGCATATAGTCCTGAGAAATGGGACAGAAGCTCTTTAGTCCTCAGTGGAAATACCTGTGCTCCTAGGAGTCTGGCTTTAGGTCCTGGAGGACAGCTGGCTAGTTAAGATTACAGTCCTTCACGGAACTACTGATAAAAGCATATAAAAGCATCTGGATGCCTGAAGCTGGAATCCCTAGCAATCCCCCTGCCACATTTCTGCAGTTTGGGATTCACAATCAATACCTTTTGAGGTTGCACTCACAGACACCCCATCTTTCTCTGTAGAACTCTTTTCTCGCATAAGTGTAGATCCTTCCTGGAGAAAGCCTGCCCCCCCTGCAGAAGCCTAACTCCAAAAGAATTCACAATTCAGAGATCTATGGACATGTCCAGCCACCAAGCACTGTATAAATCCCTCCCTTGCTTGGAGTGGTTGGCTTGCAGCTCTAAATCACATGCATTTGTCATTTGGCTAAAATGCAGTGGTTCAGAGTGGCACAAAAGCAAGGGTTTGGATTAGGTATGGAAATAAAAAAATCTAACAATGTTTTGGCCATTGTCCTGCATATCAAAGGGGCATGCACATTAGGCTCAGAATGGAAGAACAGGAATTTGAGTGGGTTTTCTTCCAACTGTGACCATCAGCTGGTAGAGATTGGAGAAAGGGAGGCTGTGGGCCAAGGGGGAAGTTAGTGGGAAGGCTGGGAGGGGCTTGGGCCCCCAGGCAGCCAGGCCAGGTTCCATGCCCTAGAGGGAGAATTTGCTGCTCTCCTTGCAGATGAAGATCTGGCTTGGCTGAGAGAAGCACACGGGGCCCCAGACCTCAGAGGAAGAAGGGGAGTCAGCAGTGTCTTCGGGAGAGTGAGAATCAGAGTAGAGAGAGAAATGGGAGGCTGTGGTATAGGGGAGGCTGAGGGAAGCGCCTGGGGTCATCCTGATTGAGTCTCCTCCATCACCTGGCTCAGCTTGGCTCAGAAACTCCTGCTGCACTGTTGCTCTGAGCTGAGGCTGGGAGAGCTGCCAGCCTCCTAATTGCAGGCATCTCTCACTGGTGTCATAGCGGCTATAGAGGCTCAGCATCCACGAAGCACTGTGTCAGGCAAGGAGTGCCTGTGGCTGCTCTGAGAAAATGCTTGCTTTCTTCCCCATGTTCCCTTCCATCTGCCGCTCCTCTGCTTGTTGCTGCTCTACCATCTCTTCCTCACTGGAATCCTGGCCAGCTGCATTCTCTCTCTCTCTCCCCTCTGGGTTTAGCATACACTTCCCAAGAGAGCAACTCAAGCCTCAAAGACCCCCCAGTCAATCAGTCAATCTCTCCATCTGTCAGTCTCTCTCTCTCTCTCTCTCTCTCACACACACACACACACACACACACACACACACGTGCATGCACAGAGGCCAGGGCTTGGATTAGACAGCCTTGCTTTCCCTTTTGTTCCCTGCCTTATTCCAGAGAGGTCCAGGTAGATCCCAATGCAGATGCCTTGTAATTCCAAATCTTGGTACTTCAGGGGACTGAGGGACAAGCTCACTTACTTTTATTCATTCATCTATCCGTCCATTCACTCATTTGTTCTCTTAAAATATTCATTGAGAGCCAGGGATTTAGCTCAGTGGTAGTGCACCTGCCTTGCAAGCACAAGGTCCTGAGTTCCATCTCTGATATTATATATATATATATATATTTTCATTAAGTGCTTACAATGTGCTAGGTTCTGGGGATAGAGAGGTAAAGGAGAATGATACCAGCCCAGGAATTATGCAGCTGTAGGTCTTTTGGGGAAAGGCAGACATTAAACAATGAACCACATAAATAATCACAATAGCACAAGTAATTGTTTACAATTGTGAGAAGTGTGGTGAATAAGAACTGTTTGGTATTTTAGACTATTTGACTTGCAAGGGGGATTAAAGCCAGAGGGATGAGACCTGGCAGAGGCTGGCTGAGAACAGGCCAGGCCTCTCTGACTTCCCTTCCAGGCTCCTGCACCGTGATGGATGAAGGGCAGGCTGATGGTTTATTTCCCCTGGAAGCCACATTGCAGGGTTCCACAGCTCCTGCTATTTAATAAAGAAAACTGCATGTGTCCTGAGTAGATGGATAAGCAAATATTCCTGATTGAAGAGCCATTTGCCTTCCCTCATATGAATGGGTAGGAGAGGGTGGGGTAGGAAACAGATGTGGACCCACATCTGAACCGTGAGGAGAGCAGAAAGGTTCAGTTGTACTGTTGTCCTTCCTGAGGGGTGCAAAGCACTGCACCATGGGTATCTGCTGCCCTCTGATGGTTTTGTCCTTTACGAAAAATTTGGATACACAGTGTACCACATTCATAAGGAATATTGGATGTTGGAGTAACCTTCTTAGCATTCTTTTCCCTGTACATACTACATCCAGAACTAGAAAAGCCTCCCCATAGCTGAAGCCTCAGAACCTTGCAGTTTGATCTTTGGAAATGGAATGTTAATTTCTCTGGTGGGAAATGGGGCAGGAGGGAAACAGAAAGAAGAGGGAGAGATGTTGAGTCCCAAATCAACTTTACTCAAATGTCCTAACTCATTTCCTTTGTCTGTATTGCTCAATATCACATAAGATTTACCTTGCAGCCCTAACAATTTGTTTTGTATTTCAGTGCTTCCTTTTTAAAGTTGTGTTTAAAAATAACTGTATAGTGACACATGCCTGTAATCCTAGCACTCAGGAGGCTGAGGCAGGAGGTTTACCATGAGTTTAAGGCCAGCCTGAACTACATAGTGAGTCCAAGGCCAGGTTGAACTACATAGTGAGACCCTGTCTTAAAAACAAACAAACAAACACGATTGTGGCATGTTTTTTGAAGCATAGATTACATGGCTTCATAAATCTGATGCTTAGTGTTTTCTCTTTCTCCTACATCACTTCAACTGGTCATCTGTCCCTCACAATGGTATTGAAAGTGAATAGGGAACTGGCCTTGGCGACCCAGGCCTGTAATCCCAGCACTTAGGAGGCTGAGGTAGGAAGGTCACTGCATGTTCAAGGCCAGTTTTGGCTACATAGGGAGTTCGAGGCCAGCCTGATCTACAAGGTAAGACCCTGTCTCAAAAAAACAAAACCAAGGGCCAGGGATTTAACTTGGTGGTGCCACTGCCTGTCTTGCAAGCTCAAGGTCCCGAGTTCGATCCCTGGCACAAACAAACAACATCAGAATACACACATACATAATGTGAATGAGGCTTGAGGGGAAAGGGCAACTTAGTTTTTCACTATATATATTTCACCTTTTAAAAAATTTCTACCTATCATGCTGCTATCATTTTTTTTTTTTTTTTTGAGACAGGGTCTCACTAGGTAGTTGAGACTGACCTGGAACTCACTATGTAGCTCAGGCTGGTCTTGAACTTACAGTGATCCTTCTACCTCAGCCTCACGAGTGCTGGGATCACAGGCGTGCGCTACCACGTCTGGCTCTGCAAGCTACTATCATTTTAAAGGAGTGATTTTGGCCAGGTTGGCCCTGGAAGTCTTAGGAAAATTGCAAGTTCAAGCACAATCTGGGCAAATTAGCAAAAGATCCGTCTTAAAAAAAAAAAAAAAAACAGGCCCAGGATGTAGTTTAGTAAGAAGGGCCTGGATTCAATTCCAAGTACAACAAAAATAAAATAAAAATAATGAATTTGGGCAGCAGATGTACCTTAGAGGTAGAGTACTTTCGTACCATTGCATGAGGCCCTAGAATCAATCTTCAGCACTGAACAAAACAAAACAAAATAAAAGCAAACACACAGACACAGGACATTTAAAAGAAATGATTTTTTAAAATGCCTTGGGTACTTCTTTCAACTGGGCATTCTGCAGGTGCAGTGTCTTGCACACATGTCTGTTCCTTAGCCCCATGGAGGGCAGACACTGTATGTTTCAGAATCCATGAGCACCCAGATCTCCTTTTGCCAGTGAGACCTCTCAGCTTTCGGTGTGTCTGATAACCTTACCTAGGGAAGAGCTTTCTATCTCCAGGTGAGGCTGGTTCTTTCCTGGGAATTAGAAGAAATCATTCTTCCTCCCATAGACCAGAAAATCCCGGGGTGGCTTCTCTCGGTTTTGTGCGTGTGCGTGTGTGTGTGGTGTTTGAGATGGGGTCTCACTCTGTAATCCAGGCTGGCCTTGAACTCACTATGTAGCCCAAGCGGGCCTCCAACTCATGGTGATTCTTCTGCCTTAGCCTCCCAAGTGCTGGGATTACAGGCATTTGCCACTATGCCCAGCAATATATTTGTAAAAATTTTTTAAATGTCTAACTCAATCACTAGCTGGAATTCTATACTAGGGCAGGGACCCTATCTTTTTGAGCTCATCAGTTTTATCCCTAATGCTTTTGACCATTCTGGTGAATTTGGAGTTGATGTCCTGGAAATGAGATTTCAAGAGAGGATTAACTGTAGATGCCAAATTTCTGGGGGGGGGGCGATGTTGGTACAGGAGGAGGAACCTCCCCTGCAAAGGGCTCCGCCTCTGGAAAGGCAGTTTTTTTTTTTTTTTTTTTTTTTTTTTTTAGTTCCGGAGTGTTTCTTCTGCTTCCCTTCACGTTTTCCTCCGGAGTCTTTTGAGTGACGAGCACTTCCGGTATCTCCCGGTCCTGCGTTACTGTAGTCCTGTTAAAGCCAGCTTCTCGAGTCGCGTGCGCCGGCCTGTCTCTCGTGGTGTCACGAATCTCGGTTTCCCGGTCTCATGGCCGGCCTGACCTTGTTTGTGCGCCATCTGCCTCCTTCGGCCCGCAGTGAGCAACTGGAAGAGGTGTTCAGTCAGGTGGGGCCGGTGAAACAGTGCTTCGTGGTGACTGAGAAAGGTAGGGGACGGGGCGATCGAAGAGGGTGGGGTTTCTGGGGGGCGAGATGGGAGCGGGGGACACCGTCCCAAACTTTAGGTAGTCACTCGTCACCTTCACTAAGAGAAGCAACTGGAGTTTCTTTTCCCAACTGACTACCTTAGATGGGCCCGTTAGGGTTGGTTTATGAAAGGCAAAGCATCCTCAAGTTTCCGTAGCGCTTTCCGTTTATTATACACGTTCACATGTATTTTTTTTTTTTTTTTTTTTTTTTTTTTTTTTT